CCCCCCCCCGCCCAATGCTGCCCTCTACAGACTCCACCCCCCAAACCTCCAGGTATTTCCCTCCTTAGAGCTGGCAATCCTACTTTCCCCTCAGTGCCTGTTGGTAGGCATCTAAGCTTGGTCCTGTCACCTACTTTGGCCTTTGGGAGAAAACACATTGGGGCCAGTCCTGATAGGGTTGCCAACTCCAGATGGGAAATTCCTGGAGATTTGAGGGATGGAGCCTGAAGAGGGTGAGGTTTGAGGAGGGGTGGGACCTCAGACAGGTACACTGCCATAGACTCCACCCTCCAAACCAGTCAGTCCCACATAGGGAACCATTGTTGCCAATCTCCAGGTGAGGGCTGGAGAGCACTCAGAATTACAACTGCTCTGCAGAAGGGAGGGCAGAAGTCAGCTGAAGTCAAAGGGGCAGATAATGGTAGGTTGATGGTTAGCTGGGAAGGAGATGGGGTTGCCAACTCCACCCTCCAAACCAGCCATTTTGTCCTGGGTAACAATTGCTGCCAATCTCCAGGTGAGGGCTACAAATCACTCACAATTACAATTGCTCTTCAGGTAGCAGAGATCAGTTCCTCTGGAGAAAACAGCGGACTTTGTCATTATACCCTGCTGAGGTCACCACAGCAAATTGACACTGTTTGCCCAAAGCCAGAGCACTCCCCCAAAGCCTCTTTCTAGATCTCATTGTATTGCTTTCACAACGGGCTTTACTGCTAGTTGTACATAAAGACCAATCACTTTGCTTCCCTCCAGAATCTCCCTGGTTCTGATAGGTTGGTTTTCAATACCTTACATCAGACTAAAGCTCTATATACATTCATTCCATTCTATACATAACAGCAGTTCAACACCATCGTCCGTAGATCGGCAAATCCTTGTTCCACTTCTTGGCTGCGTTCCAGGATGACGGTTTTCAAAACTGTTCCAGGGTACCTTCAGGTCCTCTCCAAGTCTTATCAGGGCTTCCTCAATGTGGGCAAAAATAGCAGGCATCTTGGTCACCACTACCAATCTTCCTCTGCGATCCAGGAGAATATTGGAGAATACTGGGCATGCTCTTGGGTCACAAGGGTCAACAATGAGATCCAATGAGCTTGGGTCGCATGCATCAGCTGATTATGTTCCCCTACAACTGGGGTCCCTAACGTGGTGTCTGTGGGCACTAGGGCATCTGCCGACACCTTTCCTGGGGCCCGCCTAATGTTCTTAGAAAGTGGGTGGGGCCAGATATTGCTGTTGCCCAGCAAGGCTTCTGATTAGCCATTGAAGATTTAATTGGCTATGCATTTTTTTTTAATGTTGCTTTGGCAGCAGCTGCTGCCACAGCACAAGGATCTTTACTGTATAATTCTCCTGATCTCCAGACAACAGAGATCAGTTCCCCTGGAGAAAATGGCTGCTTTGGAAGGTGGACTCTATGGCATTATACCTTGCTGAGGTCCCTCCCATCCCCAAACCCCACCCTCCTCAGGCTCCACTCCCAAAATCTCCAAGTATTTCCCAACCCAGAGGTGGCAACCCTAAAGGTGACTGAAAGTAAGGTGCAGCAGCCATTTTATGGCTGTGTCCGCCCTGCTGTGTCAGAAGTCCAAAGGTGCCCACAGGGTGCACTGAGGGTGCTAAGGTTCTTTGACTTGTGTGGTTAGCCAATAAACCACACAGTGAAATAAACTATTCCAGGCAATAAAGGGTAAAAAAAAGATTTATTTTAATAAGGAACATCTCACAGAAAAGAAATTCAGCATGGATGTTCAGTGAGCTATAGCAGGGATCTTGCTTATATGCTCTTCTTGCTCCTCCTCACTTTACATCATCACTGACATCATTTGCACATGCTCAGTGTAGATCTCTTTGTCTGGTCAGTTATCATTCAATCATATATTTGACAAACAGGATGTTACTTGGCCCGCGTCTCAACTTTACAATGCAGGTGCTTGTCTTGTTATATTGATTTATACAGGTATTCATTTTCTTGGCTGCTTACCTAGACTCCTTTTCACCTTTGAATGAACTCTCAGGCTGAGTTCATTTTCAGTACAAAACTTAGATGTTTTCATTACAAAAATTGTTCTTCTACATTAATATATGCATATAAAAGTATAACAATATTCTTAAAGCATTTTATAAGCTTATTTTCACTAAGGGTATACAAAAATATGAAAACATGTATCATTACAATGACATTAAACCCTTTACATGTATTCTTTTGATGTTTCAAAAGAGCCTATTGCATAAAGCCTTTGTATTCTTTATTTTGGTCCATCAGAATATTTTTGTTCATTTTAAAAGAGTTTTAAAAACCTCTAAACTTGTACTCTGGTCAATAGGGGCTTTCCTTGTCTAATACAAATGTTGTATTTCTTTTTTAAAATTGGCTTCTAGCAGGTGTGCATGATTAATTCCTATGACTTCATCTGCGTGTTAGTAGCATGTTAATCCTTAAAAACTTAAAAGCACACGATAACTTGGATCTATTTTGTATGGAAGACACACCTGAACTTCTTAATTGGCTTCTAATGAATGACAATAGTCGCGATTTTGTTTTTGGCTGAATCTCCACACACCTGGTCAGCTCTTGGTCATTATTTTTAACTTTAGTAGTTTATAGATCTTTGCCAGGTAAATTTAAAATGTATCTTTAAGCAAGCATAAGCTTGATATTTCTTTAGCAAAGCTCAAAGTTAATAAAGGATAGTTGCTTTTGTTACAAATATCTTATATTCCGCTTTAAACATAATATAAAGTTCTAAAAAACACACACACAACAGATCAGAAGAGGGGATATTTCTCTTATAGTGTCTTCTTGCTCACCTCAATTAAGCTTTTTAACCAATTATTTCTAAGTAAAAGATGCCACCATAAATCTGACATTAAAACTCCCTTCACTGGCATTAGTTCATTAAGTAAAGCTTTCTCAAACAAGCGAAGTCTTTTCTATTTTAAAATAGGCTGAAAAGGCAAACATATCTATCTATCTATATCTATCTATCTATATATAGATATTGCTTATAGGCTCTAATGTTAAATCATTCCAAACTTAAAGAGAGACTTAGTCTGGGTTTTTCTCATTTAAAGTTGCTAAAATCATAAACCACTATAATAAACTTTTCACCTCTTTCTTTGAAGTATAAGATTTAATCATAAATCTTGGGCTCTAAGAATTCATTGTTGTGCCATCCCAATTAAGAAGACTGATGCAAGAACATCGATCTTCACTTATGACAGGTCTTAGCTGGGATGGTCTGTACCAGTTTAATTCAAAGGGTGACACAAGAACACTTCATCCAATTAAAACATTCTTTGCTGTCAGTTAAATTTGATTTAAAACACCTGTTTTCACAATTCTGTATTGTTTTAACAAAATGTTTTAATGGTTTTAATGATTTGATTGTTGATCTGTGTTTTATTTTGTGTGAGCCGCCCTGAGCCCTGGGGTAGGGCAGGATATAAATCAGAATATAAATAAAAAAATAAATAAGTTGTTCTCTAGGAGAATCCCAAAGAATTTCTTCCAAAGATTCGTGGAAGTCAGCAATAATTAATAACCTGTATAAAGCCTGTATAAAGAGTGATTAACACAAGGAATTCACTGCCACAGGAGGTGGTGGTGGCTACAAGCATGGACGGCTTCAAGAGGGAATTAGATAAACATAGCAGAAGTCCATCAGTAGCTATTAGCCACAAGGTAAAGATAGGAACTCTCCGTCTGGGGCAAGCGATGCACTGTATTCTAGGTGCTTGGGGGGGCAACGGTGGAGGAGCTTCTAGTGTCCTGGCTCCACTGATGGCACCTGGTATTTTTGGCCACTGTGTGACAGAGTGTTGGACTGGATGGGCCCTTGGCCTGATCCAACATTGGCTTCTCTTATGTTCTTATGTTCTTAAATGAGACCAGTGATTGGTGAGCCATGGAAATGAAAGGCTGAGAACATCCTGTCCACATAAATGTATTTCCAGTGGGGATATCTCAGTTTCAAAGGGATTTATTTAGAAGAAGAAGAAGAAAAGAGATTGGATTTATACCCCGCCCTTCACTACCCGAAGGTGTCTCAGAGCGGCTTACAAACTCCTTTCCCTTCCCCTCCCCACAACAGACACCCTGTGAGGTAGGCGGGGCTGAGAGAGCTCTGAGAGAAACGGCTCTTTTTCAAGATTTAATGGCATTCCCATAGCTCACAGCATAAGGCTGTAGAATGGAAACCATTAATGGTCAGCAATGTTCCCTCTAAGCTGTGGAGTCCTGTGAGCAAAAATTCTACTTGGTGAGTAACTGGCATTAAAGTCGTGAGCGAGTCATTTGGCTGCAGCATAGATTAGTTTGCTTCGGAGCTGTCCTTCCTGAGCCAAGACAAAAATGTGCGAGCCAGAGGCTAAAAAACTGTGAGCTAGCTCACCCTAACTCAGCTTAGAGGGAACACTGACGGTCAGTATTAGAACCGGTAGTACTCTGTTTTGATATTTGACTGAAAATTGGAAAAACGGAAGTATTACCTTTACAGAATTAATGTAATCATTTTTCAGTTTAGCCAAAGCTTCTGGAGTCAACAAGCTGGGCAGGTCTTCAGTTTTTATTTCTGGTTTGAGATCCACATGTCCTAAGAACTCTTCACTGAAAATAAATCAATACATTATGTTCTCAGAGGTATGCACATTAGAGTTTGGCCACTGGCAACCCTTGGGCTGCCCTGACATAGCCTAATCTCATCAGGTCTTAGAAGTTAAACAGTGTTGGCTCTGGTTAGTATTTGAATGGGAGACCACCAAGGAAATCCAGGATCACTATGTCTCTCGCCTTTTAAACTCCATGGAGTTGCCACAAGTCAGCTGCGAGTTGATGGCAAAAACAAAAACAAAGAAGCAATCGTTGAGCTACCTGCCAAAACCAGCAAGGTGCACCTGCCACCTTAAGTCCACCGCTGGGCCCCTCATGGGGCTCGGCAGTGGAGCTGCAAGGCCGGCACCGGCGGCCAGGACCGTTGGGGGCGGGGTTGTGTGGCCTTATGACACATTTCCGGTGATGTCAGGAGGTGTGGCCTTATGACACACTTCCGGTGATGTCAGGGGGTGTGGCATATGCTAATGAGTTATGCTAATGAGTTCCCCTAGCTCTTTTTCTACGAAATGACCCCTGGGGATACCAGTGACAGCAATGAAAGCAGGGGGCATAGCACTCCACCCAGTTTAATACCAGTCTGTCCAAATCTTTCCCTTTCTCTTCTTCCCCTCCCATCCAAACCCTTCATCACCCAACTGAGGAAAAATACATCTCCACCTTCATCACTCTCATAGAATGGCGGCAGTAGAAACCCCTGCATTCTTTTCCAGTGAGTGGCCTGGAGTGGGGGGGGGCAGAATAGAAGAAGAGGAGGAGGAGGAGGAGGAGGAGGAGGAGGAGATTGGATTTATATCCCGCCCTTCACTACCCGAAGGCGTCTCAGAGCAGCTTAGTTAGTTAGTTAGCAGAGTGCACAAGGCTTTAACGCAGCAGTGCTTGTATTAGACCTGACCATGTGCATGTGCATTCTGCTAACTAACTAAAGAAGGATCTGGACCACCTGAACCAGTACCCTTCCAACAGAGCCAACATGAGATGTATTGACTCAATCAAGGAAGCCACGGCCCTCAGTTTGTAAGACCTGAGCAAGGCGGTTAATGATAGGGTGTTTTGAAAGTCATTAATTCATAGGGCCACCATAGGTCGGAAGTGACTTGGAGGCACTTAACACAAACACAGAGAGACAATCGTGGTTTTTTCCCCAGTGTGCAAGATGGGGAAGCATTTAAGCCCATAGTTCTCTTTTACTCCCCCAACAAGGTATGTCCTCCAGATATGTTGTTGGCGTAACAAACAGGTCTACGAGTGTCATTTAAGAAAACATGTACCAGCTTTTTCATTCATCACATCTATGAAATTTTTCTCCAAGTGTTTCTGTGTCTTGCTCGTTGCCAGTCCATGCTGCCTCAGTGATACCTGACCGAGATGAGTGGCAGGATGGCCATTGTTCCAACCTGCATGGCAACTTGATAATAAAACCGGAGCGAAACACGAGGCTTCTGATCTGGCCTGCCAAGATATTCCTAGCAGATGCTGTGCTTTGCAAAATGTCTCTCTGTGTCGTGTGTGTGTCAGGGGGAGGTGGGAATAAAGCTTGGTTGGCAATGAAGTCCTTAATAGCACGTCAGCCCAGGAATTTAATGAGAAAAGGCAGGAAATGGGGAATTGACTTGGCAGCTGAATCACGTGGCACTGTCAACGGCCTTCTTATCTGCAGGGGGTCTCCCCACCCCCCCTTTCTGAAAAGGATGCATTCTGCTGACAGAGTGGGGGGCCATCACTCGCCTAATTCCACACAGGAAACCAAAGAGTAAACTGCATACAAAACTTCCTTCTTGCATCTCACCAGTGCCAAATAATCATTTGGAAACAGTTCAGTTCTTTGAAAGAATAAGCCCGAAGAAATATGCATCAGGGCAACCCACATTTTCAGCAATTCCTCTCATTTCTTCTGTGCTGTTTTGTCGGATGCAGTTGACAGTCAACAAGGACGGGCTAAAAAGCCAGACAGAGCAACGGGAAGACCTAACCTCTGAAGCTCAAGCCAGATCCTTCGGGTTTCTGAGCTTGCCTTTCACCAGCATATATTTCAAGCTTATCTGCACTACCTTAGAGGCTAGAAATGAGTGGGGGGGGGTTGAGGGGGGAGTGAAAGCAGAGTTTCTCAGGAAGCCACATTTTGTAGCCAGTGCTATGTGCTAGAATTTTGTTGTACTTCCACAGAATAACATCATTTACACTTCTACTAGGGTTGGCCGGTTGAGCCTGGCTGGGGGCAGGAACATGGATGTGTGTGTGTGTGCGTGACATCGGTGACATCACTACAGTTCTTCTTGGTACAAACCAGAAGTGACAAAAGGTAGCTCTAGGCAGGGCTTTTTTTCCCCCTGGGGGAACGCCCCCGAACGGAGTTCCAGAACCTCTTTGACAAAATTCTTTTTAAAATGTTTAAAAGTTCATGGGTTTTCAGCATACAGATTGAAAACTTCATTTCCCTTTTGAGAGTTCAGGCACCTCTTTTTCAAAAAAGAAAAAGAAGGGGGGGAAAAGCCCTGGCTCTATTGGAGGTAATGGTAAAACCATAGAGTTTCTGGTGATTCCTAGAGCTACCCTATATTTCTTCTGGGTTTTACCCGGAAGTTATGTAGTGACATCAGTGATATCGTTTTTAAAAAAATTAACAGTGGGCAATGAGGTTATCAGCACAGAGGCAGGCCTGGCAAGCCTACAACTTCCTGATAACAGAAACTTACCTGCGATATATGTTGTTGATCCAACTGAGTAATGCGTAGCATTCAGTGAGCGTCAAGCTGTTCTCTTCCAGGATGTCATGTAAGTGCACCGAGAGGGCCTTGTGGAAAGCCCCCACATACGTATCACATACGTTATAATCCTGTGGATAGCATTTCTGTACGTGAAGCTTGACTTTGAACAAATCTTCTTTTACAGCCATTGTGAAAAAGGCTAGGTGCTGAGAAAGCCATGACTGGTTATTGTCCTTCAAGGGTACTGGCACTTTACAGACCCTTCCCTTGGCACTTTGATTGACAGCTTCTTTCCAGAGCTGTCTCCAGTTTCTGGCTGAGCCGACGGCTGCTGGCCCAGAGGAGATGGTGGCCTCGGAGGCCTTGGGGTGAGCTTTCTCTTCCTCTTCAATTAAAGTCATCAGAGAAGTCAATGCCTTTTCGTCAATGCCGGGGAGATCCAGCGTTTCTTGGACAATTTGCCGGATGACCTTCGAGATGTGATCATACAACAAGTCAACATCCTTAGCCTTCGCAGTGCATTCCTTGAGGTTATCTCCATATTTCTTGGCATCCCTTTCAGCCAGAAGCTCCATTTCCAAACCCTTGATGTTTTCAAAGGCCTCCAACAGTTGCCTTGTCTGAATAAATTCATTTATTTCCATTACTAAAGGGTGCAAAAAAGGGGGAGGAGAGAAATGAAGAGTGAAAAGGGGTTGTGACATGTTTCTCCTCTCTCTGAAGGGTGGTCTGGAATAGTGTTCTGGAGAACTATATGTTACATAGGAATGAAAAGACTGGACTTTTCCCACTTGTACATGGTTCCCCCCCCCCCACACACACACATTCCTCTGTCAGAAGCATTCCAAAGAGTTTTTGCTACAAAGCAAGAGGGATACCGCACTAGCCCTTAAATCCTGGTTCAACCCTGTCCCCGAACTTACATTCTACACTACACTAGAGTTCACCCCTGTAATTATCTCGGGGTATTGTTTGTTTCCACATTACACTGAGGTCACCCCGGTTTCGCCCCACACGTGTCCCGGGATAAACGGATGCTGTTATAACCAGGGATAAATGCAAGGTACTGTGTCGCGGGTTGAACCCTGATAAAACCAGGGATGAGATCCAAGCGCAGAAAGGACCATAGTTACTTTGGTTTGGGGGCAGCCATGGAAGCCTAACCCACTCCATTCATAAAGTGTCACAAGGCACGCAACTATCTTCTGCTCTCATTTGCTGTGCCCTGAAATGCAACCCTCAATGACGCCCAGTTTTCTTCCGTTCCTGCAGCCCAGAGGTCATTTTGGGGGGGATCGCAGTTCCCCCTGCTTCCGGCCGCCCCGCTTCCGGCCCTCATTCAGCCAGGAGGAGGCAGGAGAAGAGGGAGGGTAAGTTGCTTCGTCCCTGCCTCTCCCCACCCCTGCCTGCCTGGGGCCAGGGAGGGCCTTTGCGGGGCTTCCTTGCACTCCCGCCGGCCTTGCAGGTCCACCGCCGGGCCCCTCATGGGGCTCGGCAGTGGAGCTGCAAGGCCAGTGGCGGCGGCCGGGACCGTTGGGGGTGGGGTGTGTGGCCTTATGACACACTTCTGGTGATGTCAGGGGGTGTGTCATATGCTAATGAGTTATGCTAATGAGTTCCCCTAGCTCTTTTTCTACGAAACGACCCCTGCTGCAGCCTATGAATTCCTTTGCAAGAACTTAGTGTTGGCGTAAGCGACTCAGCATGTGGGGGGGGGGCTCTACCTTTCTAAATTATCTCCTTGAATGGGATGTCTGTATCTTTGTCTTAATCTGGGAGCTGCTTTCTGATCCCTCCTCTCTCCCTGTGCACTTTGTTCTCCCCCAGTCTCCTCATGGCTCGCCATGGAGTCACCTCATCATGTTTCTGCAGGTCTCTCCTGCAGAGACAATGCCCTCATACTTCCGTACACATAAAGCCAGATTATCTGGCCACTTGTGATAGGAAAGTACTCTTTAGATTAGGCGTCTCTCTCCCCTTTCAACTGCAACCTGAATATGAACTGAATCTACTTGAATAAATGTTTTACTTTTTCAATACTACTTCTTGGGAGATTTATTTTCTGCACGCAATGTCACGCTTCTATGACTGGGCAAACTCTGCTATATTAACCAAATATCCTGAAACTTAGGTCCAGCTGGGGATCCCCAGAGGTGTATGCCGGGCCGCAACCAAATTAAATTGGCAATTTCTACCAATTTCCTCTTCCCACTGCAGGACACACACCCCCCAACACCACCCGTATGGGTCCCCTCTTCCTCTGGCACAGCATTTTGTGTAGATCAGTGGCCTGTAGTGGGGGATGAGAGGCAGGAAATTTCCATTCCACTGGTGGAAAAATTAGCTTAGATCCAGCCCTTTAGCTGCAAAAAGCACCTGCCCAAGGGCTGGTATGGACATGTGGAGCATAGCACTGGGGATGAAGGGGTTAACACCCTTCCATGCCATTTCTCCAAATGAAAATGTCTCCTCCACCCCCAGCTGCTTTAATCCACAATATGGGAAAATGCCAGAGAAATATGACTACCAGTTATTTTTTCCTCTGCAGGGGGGTTTAAAGCAGGCTGGGGGAGGGATTTCCAACTGGGAAATGAATATGAGAGGAAGAGTCAAGCCCTCATCCCCCAATGCGGCTGTCTCAGTCTGACCACAGATTCTTAATGCCACGTGCAGTTTGGCCTTTAAATTATGTCTTCTCCTGTTGGAACAAGACAAGGCATGTCTCTATTTATGTTCTCTACTAATGGCCAACAAGAGCACAATTTTAGGGTGAGCTGGTTCTTCCAGGCCTTTGTTAGGATGATCCAATTTTGTAACTTCACTTAATGTGTGTTGTCTGTGGGATACTCTTAGGGCTTCTATGGAAGAAAATGAGAGGCAATTTTTAAAATTTAGGGTTTAGGCCTATATTTACCTGCCCAGTGTGGGAAATTTACCCGCTCTCAAACCCAATTTCTCATTCTCAAGGAACTGAGGAATGGAAGAAAAAAAGGCCTCCACATAGTGACACTCTAGGAATTTCTCCTAGTCTCTGTGGTAAAGATTAGGGGAGGCATCTGAGAGTGTCACCCAGAAGTCTGTTCATTTAGGACCTTTCTGCCCGAACTGCCCTCAAATCGCCTTATGGTGTAGATGGCAGTCATCACCATCAAGTACAACGGGACTGTTTATCATATTTCTGCCCACCTAATCTTCAACTCAAGCTGTACAATCGTCTATTGCTAGCCTACTATCAGTCTTCTATTCAGGATTCTTATTATTATGATTTTAAGAAGTTGTTTTATTGTTTATATCTCTGTTATGACCCGCCCTGAGCCCACCTGCAGCGGAAGGTGGGATACAAGTTAAACTCCCCCGTTTCACCTCAGAAGATGGAATTCTTCCTGTCAAAGAAATTGTCAGGGTTCCCTCATCTACCATTTTTTATTTGTTGTGTACCTGCTGTACATTGCATTGGTCAAGCCGCACCTGGAGTATTGTGTGCAGTTCTGGAGGCCTCACTTCAAAAAGGATGTGGACAGAATGGCAAGAATGATCGGGGGCCTGGAGACCAAGCCCTATGAGGAAAGGCTGAGGGACCTGGGAATGTTTAGTCTAGAGAAGAGGAGGCTGAGGGGGGACAGGATTGTCCTCTTGAAGTATTTGAAGGGCCCTTAGAGGAGGGCCAGGAGCTGTTCCTGTTGACAGCAGAGGAGAGGACTCGCAAGAATGGGTTTAAATTAAGGGCGGAAATGTACCGGATAGATATTAGGAAAAACTTTTTTACAGTAAAAGTTGTGCAACAGTTGGATCAGCTGCCCCGAGAGATGATGAGCTCCCCCTCACTGGCAATCTTTAAGCAGCGGCTGGACAAACCCTTGTCAGGGATGCTCTAGGCTGATCCTGCATTGAGCAGGGGGTTGGCCCCTTCCAACTTTGTGATTCTATGATTCTATGACCTACACTGTAATATTTTCCTGTCAGAACGAAACTAGAGCCCTACAAACTGTCCAAATTGCTGAAGATTAGGATGTGGTTGGATCCAAACTTCCCCTTCTGAAAAGGGAAAGGCATATCAACCCACACAATAAGGAAGGCAGTGCCCATAAGTTTCCCCTTCCTACTGCAGACTAATCAACTCCCATGCTATTTTTGAGGGGCCCCAACCCTCAGCATGCCCACAGCTGGCAACCCTAGAAGGACTTCATATAAATAATTTGCCTGGCAGGCAGGGTTGTTGCCAAGACCATTTAGAGCTCTTGGAACATTCTAGAAATATAAATATAAATGTCACTTTATAATTAAGGCATCATTCCTTAACCCTATTTCAGAACTTTGATAGTTTAGTAAACATTGCCTATGTTGGGAGTAGGGGTCCCATTACTACAGTAGGGGCTAGGGATCCCCTGGCCCAATGTTCCTGTGGACCACTGCTGTTCTGAGTGGTGGCAAGAGAAAAAAACGTTTAAAAAAATCTTTCAGCATGAGGTGCGGCACCACAACACTTTCAGCATAAACCGCAAATGACATAGGGTAGCTCTAGGAATCACTGGAAACTATGGTTATACCATAGAGTTTCTGGAGATTCCTAGAGTTACCTATGTCACTTCCGTTTGTTTTTTGGGGGGGGGCCTATGTCACTTCCGTTTGTTTTTTGGGGGTTTTTTTTGCTGGAAGTCATGTACCCAGCACTGCGGCCCTTCCATATCCCTACCAGTGTTCCCTCTAAGCTGAGTTAGTGTGAGCCAGCTCACAGTTTTTCAGCCTCTGGCTCAGACGTTTTTGTCCTAGCTCAGGAAGGATGGCTCCAGAGCAAACTAATTTATGCAGTAGCCAAATTGCTGGCTCATAACTTTAATGCCAGTCGCTCACAGAGTAGAATTTTTGCTCACAAGACTCCACAGCTTAGAGGGAGCACCGATCCCTACCCACAATCCTCTCACTGGTTGACTGGTGCTGCCAACTTGGGAGCTGGCCACATGTGGAAGGAATTGCGTAACCATTTCCAGGACTAGGTACCCTGCTTTGCATAGTAAAGAAAATCAGCACCGACTCAGCAAAACCATCGAGCAACAGCATTCATTTCTTACCAGACAATGGTTCTTTTTTAACACACTTGTCTTCAGGCTTCCCAATGTCCTCTGAAGTACTTCTGCTCTCTTTATGTGCATGGACATGACCTTCTATCCATTTGAGGCTTCTGTTTGCAAACCGTTTGCTGGATCTAAGGATTCCAGGCTCGTTCACTGATATCCCTTTGACGGATTTCGAGATCTCTCTGCTGAAGCTCAGCATGGTAGCGAGAGGCTTGTTTGGGCTCGTGGTCTCCTTTCCCCCTTGATGATTCAAAGGTGGAGAATTTAACTGGGTCTCACAATAGCTATCTTCACTCTCCGTGCGTTTCTCTGGAGATCCTGAAGGGCCCTTTTGATGCTCTTAGGACAGAAAGGTTTATTAAAGTATGAGTGGTATGGAAAGAGACTGGATAGAGATATTTTACCCCTCCTAATAAAGGGGGTCACCCAGGGAAATGGATCAGCTGGCCATAGATATGAAATGGACTGAAGTTAGTATTAATTCACACACACACAATTCATTTATGGAATTCCCTGATAGTGAATGTGGTGATGCCCAAAAAGTTTGTAGCCAGTTCAGGCAAGACACTGGGAGTTCTGTGTATAGTGTTAGAAGTTCCAGGTGCGATGTCCTTGCCTCAGCCTCCAGACGTCATGGCAAGAGAGACTACATAGCTAGATAGGCACACTGACCTTTCTTCCTGTGTTTACTATTTTGCCACTGTCCCCTTTGAAATGTAGATTGTGTTCTCAGGGACAATTTCCTTCCTTCTATCATCATCATGCTAGGCACGCCACCGGTGGACGCTCTGGCATTTAGCTCGAAAACTCTATGATACCGAACGCTAGAGCATCCCCCCCGGCAATGTGCCCAGCACGATGACGTCACCTCCAGGTGACATCATTGTGCCGGGCATGTTGACTGGATCCAGGCACTTTGGGGGCGGGGTTCCCCGCGCTGGCCGGATCTAGGCCAGTGGGCCAGGGGCCCTTTGAGCAGACTAATCCCGGCCCCCCTGGGGGACCTGGTAGCCCTAACTATGCAACTTCTAAATTTCAGCTGCAATGTTCCTCTGACTAGCAGATACCAGCCTGTATCCTACCATGTCACTCAGCAAAGAACATACAAACATAAGAAGAGCCCTGCTGGATCAGACCAGTGGTCCATCTAGTCCAAGTTCCTGCCTCACATGGCCAACCAGTTCCTCTGGAGGGCCAACAACAGATCACAGAGGCTGAGGCCTTCCCCTGATGTTGCCTCCCAGCTCTGGGATTCAGAGGCTTAGTGCCTCTGGATGTGGAGGTTCCCCTCAGTCACCATGGCAAGTAGCTCCAGCCTCAGGAGCCTCCCTTCAACTTAAGCGGCAATTCTCTCAGAAGAAGAGCTACTTCAGCTGGAGGAACTTTCCTTAGGCTGGAGGAAGACTTGATACTTCATTGAGTTAAGCGGCCCATCCAATGTGGAAGGGCTGTTGTCTTCATGGAGAGAGTGTTGGTTTGAACCAGATAGGTCCAAGTGCATTTCCACTGTGGCCCTCATGTTCACAAAGTTTGTTTGCTTGCTAAAATACTTATACCTAGGGATGCCAGCCTCCACATGGGACTCATGGATCCCTCAGAATTACAGCTCATCTACAGACTGCAGAGATCAGTTCCCCTGGAGAAAATGGATGCTTTGGAGGGTGGGCTCTGTGGCCTTCTGCCCCACTGAGGTCCCTGTCCTCCCCAGGCTCCATCCCCAAATCTCCAGGAGTTTCCCAGCCTGGTTCTGACAATTCTCCTGTCCCCATTCCCTGCCAGTGCTCACAGCGAATCTGGCAGCCCTATAAACCCACATTCCCTCACCATATATCTGCATATGCTTGAGAGCTTGAGCTCTCCCTTTTTCTGTACCCCATAATTTTCTTTTGGGGGAAAAAAAGGAAAGATAATATTAAATTTCTCCTTACAGTGGACAACCTCAATTAATCTTCCAGTTCTTCTTCACAGCGAATCTGGCAGCCCTATAAACCCACCTTCCCTCACCATATATCTGCACATACTTGAGCACAGCCTGTGGCTCTCCTTTTTTCTGTACCCCTTAATTTTCTTTTTATTGGGGGGGAAAGGAAAGATAATATTAAAATTCTCCTTACAGTGGACGACCTCAGTTAATCTTCCAGTTCTTTTTTTTTTGCAAAACACAGCCAAATCAAGCAGATAAAATGAGGGTAACACAAAACTGAATGCAAACAAAACAGACACTTGACACATTACTGTCGTGAAGCAGCATGTCTTCTTATCATAGATCATGACAAGGCATAATTGTATAGCTTTCTAATCATGAGCTCCCTGCATGGGGCTTTTCTTAAGAGACAACATAGGATTTTGGATTGTGAGAAAACTAGCTCTTGAAAAACTGAGATGGGTGTGTGTAAATTTGATACAGGCCAAAAACCCCAAACAAAACTTGTGATTGCTTCAGACTCAGGAATAGGTAGAACAGCTGTACACAGGGTATTGGGCTTTTCTTAAGAGACAACATAGGATTTTGGATTGTGAGAAAACTAGCTCTTGAAAAACTGAGATGGGTGTGTGTAAATTTGATACAGGCCAAAAAACCCAAACAAAACTTGTGATTGCTTCAGATTCAGGAATAGGTAGAACAGCTTTACAGGTGGAAATTGGGCCTCAAAAGCGGGGGTTTACCCGCCACCCGCCCCCACTTGGAAGCCCTAGTCTGGGGCAAGGGATGCACTGTATTCTTGGTGCTTGGGGGAGCAACAGTGGGAGGCCTTCTAGTGTCCTGGCCCCACTGGTGGACCTCCTGATGGCACCTGGTGTTTTTGGCCACTGTGTGACACAGAGTGTTGGACTGGGTGGGCCATTGGCCTGATCCAGCATTGGCTTCTCTTATGTTCTTAACCGCTCTCCGGACTACAGTTCCTCTGGAGAAGAAGATGGCTGCTTTGGAGGGTGGACTCTATGGCAGTGTATACCCCGCTGAGTCCCCTCCTCTCCTCAAGCCCCACCCTCCCCAGCTGCCACTCCGAAAATGTCCAGGAAGTTCCCAAGCCAGAGCTGGCAACTCTAGTGGTCCTTCATATAAATGATTCACCTGGCAGGTAGAGTTGTTCTGAATCTCCCTGGCAAGGTTTTTGTTATGAGTTATCATTTATACCTCTTGGAACTTTGTGGAATGCTATAAATAAGTGGGAATGATTGCTACTGACTCCATTCATAATTAAGGCAGCATGCCTTAACCCCCGTTTCACAAATCTGATTTGGTTTAGTAAACATGGTTTGCAATTAGGGTTGCCAACCTCCAGGTGGAGCCTGGAGATCTCTTAGGGCCTTTCTCTATTCAGTCTTTACTCCCAGTTTGCCCATAACCCGAGGTGGTGTGCCTTTGATTCAGATCGTTTCCTTTCATTCCGCATATGTAATTATTCTTCAGCACTTTGTGCTGGAAAGTCAGGCCTCTGCAGATTATGCTTTCTGCACACTCATGGAAGAAAGTGTGTTTTGAGCCCTGATTGCTCTTATCCTTCGGAGAAGGAATAGCCAAGGCACCGGCATGATACTTCTCCCTTCCCTTCAGTGGCCGCCCCCCCCCCCCGTGATCTCTCTTCCTTTTCACAGAGCCCTGGCTGGTGGGAGGAATTCTTCCAGGAAAATCAGAACGACATTGAGTGGATGAGGCATTTCAGTGTCAACAAGGCAATGTTTGCTACCATTATGTAATGGGAATAACCCAGGGATTATCAACGCTTCGTTTCAAATCAAAATGCAAACCATCAACCCACGCACCCATTTTTGTTTTGAGGGAAATGTTTGTAATCGAAGTCTGTTTGGCTTAAAAGGTGCTTCCTGAAAAACTGGTTTTTCCAGGAGCTCTCCTCTCCTCCAAACTGCTGAGGACTCTAAATAAATGCAAACGTTCAGCATTCGCCCATGAGGAAACCTGTTATCAAGTAAACTGGCCCCCTAACATAGACCAAAAAGAGAAAGAGGCTGAAATGGTGGAGGGCAGTGTGCAGCACTTAAATATTTGCAGAAACAACTCTACTTTAAATAGTAGTATTAAATTCAAAACGGACCAGAACAAATGTTTGCAGCAAAAGCACTTTTGGGAAGTGCGGGTCAACAGTGTGCTAGAAGCAGTCTGAGTGCTGATCCCCTTAAAGTAAATGCAGAACCAAGAAGAAGCCCCAACACAGAGCGGCAGTGAAAGTGGGAGGGAATGCAGAATGGAAGACTGAGATGCGCTCAGAAATCGAGGGGAAAGTCTAGTGCAGAAAGGGCACCAGAGTAACAGACAGTAAATGGTCAATGCTTTAACTTGGTCTGAGAACCTTGAGTGACAGGGGAGTGGCACTTCAGAATGACAGTTGAGACTGGAGGGAGAACAGTGAAGGAGAGTTAAGCAGAGTAAAAGAATCAAAGAGGATCCTGAATTAGGCAAGTGGGACAAGTAGCCCTTCCCTGAGGGAAATAGCTTCTAGTAAAGGGGGGAGGGTGATCCCTGTCAAATGTTTAAGAAGGGAAACTGGAACTTGTGTGAATGTTTCTGCCATCACAAACGTAAGTATTTTTGAGACAAAGAAGCTTATGCTTGTTTATTTAAGCTGTGATGGCCAAGAGACCTCTCTTCACAGTTTTAAAGATCTGTCTGTATAACAAAACAGCCACTTGATTGTAACAAACTGTCTACTGCTCATATTTATACAGAGTTACCTCATTCCTGTTGCCTGTTCACCTTCTAAGACCTAAACCTGATACCTATTCGATCATTTCCCCTCAAAAGTGAAATAAAGCAGTTTGTTCATTTTGAATTAACCTCTCACTCACCATTATCAGATAAAGACAAAAGAAGGATTTTAGTCAGTCCGTCAGTTTCCTAGGCTGGGTCAGCATATATCTATATACATTTAAACAACTGGGTAGGACAGACAGCAAAACAAAGAAGAAAGAAAAGGAACTGACCAGCTAAAGCAATAGAAAAAGAGAATTTGGGAAGTGGGGAACTGTTATTCCCGGAATTACACTGCATCTCCATCTTACAGAGATCAGTTTTCCTGGAGAAAATGGAGGTTGGACTCTATGGCATTATCCTTCCCCTACCCAAATCCCGCCCTCCCCAGGCCCCAACCCCAGATTTCCAGGAATTTCCCTGGCTGGAGCTGGCAACCCTACCCATTCTGAGAGCTGGCCACAAGTGGAACACTTTGCATACCCATTTCCAGGCCCAGGTACCCAGCTTTGCAAAGCCAAGAAGACTAATAGCATCCCAGTAACAACATCTTAAATTCTTACCAGATGGTGGTTCTTTTTCAATACTGTCATCCTTAAACTCCCCACTTTCCTCTAGAACGCTGCTGTGTCCTTTACTAGCACACGCATGATCTTCTATCTGTTTAAAGCTTTTCTTTGCAAACCGTTTGCTGGATCTGAGAATTTCGGGCTCTTTCGTTGGTATCTCTTTGATGGATCTGGGGATAACTCTGCTCAAGCTCAACACTCTAACAAAAGCCTTCTTGGGGTTCTTGGTCTCCTTTTCTCCTTCGTTGTTCAAAGGTGGAGAATTTAATTGGGCCTCACAAGAGCTGCCTTCGCTCTCCGTGCATTTCTCTGGAGACCCTGGTTCTGATGGAGACTCCACTGCGGTATCGGCCTCCAGCACTCCTGTTTTATTGTCATCCATGTTAGTTTCGTAGAAAGTGACTGTGAGAAAGTCTGAGGTGGTGACTGTGACTACTGAAAAACAAAAGCAACGGGTTGGATGAGAGAGAACAAATGGCCGAAGCAGGACTGCCGACTCCCATAGCTAAGTACTTAAAACATTTTAGTGGCCTTTCTGCCTTGCAGAACTGAAGGCGGCTTAAAATGTAAAAAAAAAAAACACCTAAAAGAACATAATTTAAAATCTCAGTTAGGACTGCCAATCAATGTTCCCTCTAAGCTGAGTTAGTGTGAGCTAGCTCACACTAACTCAGCTTAGAGGGAACACTGCTGCCAATACATAGAAACTACATCAGTCAAATGCAGTCCTAAATCAGCTGTCTTCGACTGCTTCCTGAAGACTGAAGGTGAGGGGACCAGGCACATCTCTCTGTCATTCCACAATTGTGGCGCTGCCACTGAAAAACCCCTCTCTCATGTGCCCACCATATGAACCCACCTCACCACTCCAGTCTTTAGAGGCCCCGCTTCAGATGCCCATATGCTATGGAGGCTAGACAGGGGAATAACATGAGAAAACGCCTTCTTAGTTGTGGTGCTGAAACTTTGGAACTCCCTTGCCACAGAGATCGGTCTGTATCAGTGTATCGTTGCCTTACACCAGTGGTTGAATACTTTTTTGTTTTGTTTGGGATTCCCGCACTAACATTTATTCGCCTTCCTCCTTTTTTGGGGGTGTGTTTTTATTTTATTTAAAACATTCGTTAGCTGCCCTTCTGCTTTTAAAGAACTCACGGCGTACAATGTAAATGTTTATATGTTTTATTTAATTGTTTTAGATAGATGATAGATAGATAGAAGAAGAAGAGATTGGATTTATACCCCGCCCTTCACTTGGAGTCTCAGAGCGGCTTACAAACTCCTTTCCCTTCCCCCTCCCCACAACAGACACCCTGTGAGGTGGGTGGGGCTGAGAGAGCTCTGACACAAACTGCTCTTTTTCAAGAACAGCTCTGAGAGAACTGTGACTGTCCCAAGGTCATCCAGCAGCTGCATGTGGAGGAGTGGGGAATGAGATCTGCAACGATGGTTTGAACTTCGTTTTTACACCGGGGCCCGATTCCGCGGCGTCGGAAATCGGGCCTCCAAAGCGGGGGTTTACCCGCCCCCACTTGGCAGCCCTACATCCCCAGGTTTCATCCCCAGCATCTTCTGGAGGGTCCCAATTTGGAGTTCGCAAATCTATTCCCTGCAGTGTTTTAGGGCTGCGCTAGATGTGACCTGGGAGATCCAGGAGTAGTTTCTCCCTCTTTTTTAAAGGTTAAAAGCAGTCATGTCTTACGGAATCGGAAACATATTGTTTGGTGGAAGAGAGTGAACCCTTTCTCACCCTTCGCAGTTAACTTAATTAGAACGCATTCTAGATGGCCGTTGTGGAAAGTGCCCTCAAATTGCAACCGACTTATGGCGATCCCCGTAGGGTTTCCAAGGCAAGAGACATGCAGAGGTGGTTTGCCATTGCCTTCCTCTGCATAGCGACCCTGGATTTCTTTGGTGGTCTCCCTTTCAATTACTAACTAGGGTTGACCCTGCTTACCTTCCAAGATCTGATGAGATCAGGCTAACCTGGGCCATCCTGATCAGAGCACTGTAGTAGGTAAGGTTGCCATATTCTGCTCCCAGGTATCCAGGAAGCCCAATCTGCATATGAAGCTGGCCAATTATGCCAATTACATAATATGCCATGGGGACCCAAATAACGCTCCCTCTAAGCTGTGGAGTCTTGTAAGCAAAAATTCTACTTTGTGAGCTACTGGCATTAAAGCTGTGAGCGAGCGTTTTGGCTACTGCATAAACTAGTCTTCTCTGGAGCCATCCTTCCTGAGCTAAGTCAAAAAAGTGTGTGAGCCGGAGGCTAAAAAACTAACTCAGCTTAGAGGGAACACTGGATCCAAAGTAGCTTACGACACTGCTTCCTTCCATTTTAACCCCACAACAGCCCTGTGGTGTAGGTTAGGCCGAGAGTGTATGACTGGCCCAAGGTCACCCGGCGCAAAGACAAAAACGTGTGAGCTGGAGGCTAAAAAACTGTGAGCTAGCTCACACTAACTCAGCTTAGAGGGAACACTGCACCCCACTGGCTCTTATATCATGTGAGCACATAAATTACATATTTGTCATGTTCTTACTTCCCAGTGTTGCCACAGAGCTGATTCAGTGATATGTTCCAGCCACCTCCACCCCCGCCCCTCGACTGATGTCTGGATAGACACCTGGAATAGAGAAATTCTCTCTTCTGCTGTTAATTTGTGGTGTTTCTAACCTTCTGCTCAGCTCTGCTCCTCTGGGATAGAGGCAGTCCTGAGTTAAACATATTCATTGCGATAGCCAAGCTTCTCCCTGACTCACACAGAAAAAGAAGACATTCACTCCTGGAGCTGTGAGATGAGGATGGCAACTCCATCTCTCAAAGCGCTGAATGGTGTTTATGATAGAAAAATCTTCAAGGGTGTCAAGAGGGTCACGGCAAGTCCTGGACTGATTTCTTTCTTCTGCACTGCTTATTTGCCCTGATATCTGGAAAGGGTGGCTCCTGGTGCCTGACCCACAATGCGAACCCGTTGTTTGCATGCTCTGCCTTGGCTACAGGAGGTCCGCAGGGGTCGCTCAATTGCCGAAATTTCTGAAAATCCGAAATGCTTGGATTGCCATGGTTACCATTCTGCAGATACAAAATGTACTACATCGCCACACATTCTCACAAAAGCACCGTTTACGAGACGGACCCAGATGCAGAGGAGGATAGGGTTCCTAGACCTTCACAGTTGTATACATGATGCAGTTTTCATATGCCATTCATCAGGAAGAAATGCAAAACCTACAGAAATTTCCATTATAAAACCCCTTCCTGTGTTGTGTCACTATGCTCCCCCCCATTCTGCCCCATGTATGATTTACAATCAGTGTCCCAACCTGGTTTTTCTTACAGGTTTCTTACAGGCAGATATTCAACGGGTAAAGCTCCCGATCCCTGGCATCGCTTACAGACCTCTGCTGGTCAGATCACTGAAAACAGCACAAAATTCCAGTAGAAAAAAAAAAAGTTGCCAAAGTTATACCCATAGTGAGAACAGAAACAAAAACATCTGGGACCGACAGCAGCCTTTTTGAGCATTTAGTTCTCCTGCTTCCAAGATACAGCTCTATGCTCACTGGGGTTTTTTAGAGGGGGGGCTTTTAATTTACAAATATATATTTGTGCTGCTCCCCCTTCCTAGGCTCCACCCCCAAAATGTTCCCATAGATGGTGATTGGAGGGCTGGCAACCCTACGTTTTGCCTGCATATACAGAAATCCCTACCTTGTTTGTGAGTGGCCCTGTTTCGCTGCCCTATGGAGAAGTCCAGGGCCCAGACCATTACATTTGCTTTTAGGAGTAGGATACTGGGAAACCATAGGGCCTTGGTGGCTCAGAGGTTAAGACTCTGAATTGCATACCGAAGTTAGGTCAAGCATAATAAAGGAACTTCAAACAGATACAGATCCAATGAATAGCATTCCCGCTGGCGGGCTAATGAAACGGTTGCGCGCCCAGTCCATGGGAACCAGGCAGAACATCAGACAAAACACAGGTGCAGTACTCATGAGAAAAGCAATAGGCAAGCATTACAGCATCTTCTCCCCCACACAACCTCCAGCAGTTATCTTGTGCATTCCAACGCAGGAGCAGGATGATAGAAAATAAGCCGGGTGTAACAGGGAAAGAATATGTACACAGAGGTCACAGAAAACAGAATGGCAGCTAGCTGACACCCATGAGGAATCATGGGAGGGGTAAACAACTGGGACCGCTCCCCCAAATCTCCCCCATCAGGATCCTATAAGCCTTCTGGAACATGTTCAGCCCTCAACAGCCTGGGTTTGTAAACCATCCTGGCTAAAGTAGAATTCATATTTTTTTCCATGTACCTGGGATATCTTCAATACCTTGGGAGTTGCACAACTGTGTAGAAACCCTTTCCTTGCATGTGGGCAGCATGGATTTGCTGCTTCCATGATATTGTCTAGTATGTAAGATAGAGGCATATCTGCTTTTTCCTGAAAGGTGACCGCTTGTGCTATACTGATAAATTTCTATAGTTACTATAAAGTATAACCCCACACACAAAATTCTCCTAAACTGTAAAGGGCATATTTTAATTTTGAATGACAAGAGGAGGAAGTATGCTGGAATGGATCTTATCTATCTATTGCAGCCAAGGGAAAAAAATGCACTGGGGAACTACCACGCTGGGTTGGCATTCATATGCAGATTTGATACTTTGGAACTTGGACTCAGGAGGCACCTGTGGTGGTTAGCTTCCTACAGGAAAGAGGACTCTTATTACTCAGCTTCACCTTACTTTAGAAGCTCTACTGACAGTTTAGCAATCTCCTAGGCTTTTTTTTTTTTTTTTTGTAAGCCTGCAAGACTTGAGTTATTTTGTAGAGCTTACGGGGAAATTCTGAATATGGGGGGGAAGGGGTTTTTTTCTGGGTGTATGAAAAGGATGTCCCTGTCTTGGTTATTTGAATGTGGTTTGAATGTAATACCAAGTGTAACTTTGGGGCCAGGAAGGAATTTTCCTCCAGGCCAGATTAGACCAGGGATTGTGGCGGGTTTCTTTGCCTTTCTGTGGGCATACAGTAGGGGTCACTGGGGAAGTGTGTGGAAGGGGTGCTGTGAATTTGCTGCATTGTGCAGGGGTTGGACTAGATGACCCTCGCGGTCCCTTCCAGCTCTATGTTTCTATGCTTTTTATTGTTATTTTGTTGTCACCCACCTTGCATCCCAATTTGGCAAGAGAAAAGTGGGTTTCTAAATATTTTAAACAAAAAATAAAATAAACACAAATAACAGTGGGGAGTGGGCCACATCCTGTATGGATTGCTTCCTCTCAGCCTTGTTGTCAGTTCATGAAGCTGAGTAGTAAAGGTCTTCCTGCCTGTAAGGGGTCTTTTTGTCCGTTCTTTACACACTTT